TAAGTGGAAGAGGAAGATAGATACACCTCGCGGAGAGGAAGAAAAAGATAGTTCATGGTTGCATAACCCGCACATGACAGGCGGGCCGCCGCGGGGATGGCGTTCCAGCATGAAGCCATCTAGAGGATGCACCGAGAACAATATTGAAAACACGTCAATGAGCGGACGAGAAGGTGCACCGAGAACAATGTTGAAAACACGTTAAGAACAGACAATACCTTATCGGAAGACAGGGGAGAGGAGAACGACAGTAAACTTCCAGAACCAAACTAGCACCCCCGAACCATTGTTGCCCATCATCAGACAAGGGTTAGAGAGGCTGATTGTAGAGGCTACAACAGCGCTCACTTTGCAAACCCCTCCTAACGCGGAGTAACATCTCGATCCATGGAGCAGCACGTAGTACCAGCTCGATCCATGGAGCAACACATAGCACCAGTTCGACCCATGGAGCAGCACGTAGCACCGGTTTGATCCATGGAGCAGTACTCTTAGGCCATGAGAGATCCCATGTTAGAGAAAATGGTAGCATAGTTGCGTGAGCAACTCAAGTCGTAAAGGAATTCTGCGGCAGGTAGGCCGATCTACCCCCGACCAACTATATCGGGTGTCCCCAAAGACTTTCTCCTGAAATGTATCTCGGTCATGTGTTATTCTCCGGCCAACAAGGCTTATAGGATTGCCGCACGTATCTTGCATCTCGCACCTCGCACTCCGCACGTTGCGTGTGCTCGTCCCAGTGAACATCAACTAAATGTTCGACCTCTCACGCGTCGACCTCTCACGTCTCAACATCACGCATCAACCTCTTGAGCGTAGATCTCTTGAGCTTCGCGCTCGACCACCTTGCTGTGGTTGACCCTCGCTTGCCCGACGTTGTTGCCTTGGTCGACCCTCGTGGGGTGCTCGACCTCGCTGAGCTCGACACCGCGTGATCGTCATCGACCTGCTGGGCTCTGTCTCGCATACGTCATTCAATGCTCGTGCAAGCTCCCCTCATACAGTCTTGCCTGGCATCCCGTCCACTCCCACATCTCGTATCTTAGCCCAAGGTCATTGCACCCACAAGACCCTACGTGGCCGCCTTTCGCTACTTAAGGTGTTTGACGAGAGCATTTGAAACGCTGGAGCTGTACGGTCTTATATATAGACGCCAAGCAGAGGAACGTATGATTGTCGCGACAACTATCGGTAACCTTAAAATTGTTAAAAACTATGTTGGCGTGGTTGAATCACTGTTTAATGCTTCTCTTTTATATACTCAGTGACATGCTCACGAGGTGTTTGGCATAATACCTGAATGAAAGAACAATTTATTAGCCTGCGAATAGTTTGTGGACCATTAGGCGTCACTCAGAGGTGTTGGGAGAATAACATGTCATTGGTGTTGTTGAGGCTGAATACTAATCATGATATAGCATATTGCTTCAAATTGTTAAAGTTGAATAAAATTATTTACATGGAAAAATAGATTCAGAATAATCTTGACTAAAACTTTGGGGATGATTGAGAATCTCCTAAATTTGTTATCGTAGAAGTGTCCAATGATATTGACTTTAGGTTTGTTCACCTATCGTTTGTAGCGTGAAATCCAAACAATTATGTGAACTCCATTCGGACAAAATACATGATCATCGCTTGCTCCAGGACAATTATTGTGTTCTAGCTTGTTATGTTTGACGCCTGCCTTTATCTTTTTTATGAAAGAAATTATCAATATCATTCGCAATTTACGGGACATCTCATTGCTTGTGTATGTCTTAATTGGAGGACATTATGATATTTATGTTCAATTTCTCATCTTTCATGCCACTTCGAGCCTTTGGGGTTCACGTGAAGAGATTGGGTGAGTAGACAACATGCGTCACCTACAAACCTTTTCAAGGCCCTGCGGGTCGACCAGAAGCTCTACAGCTAGGTCACTAGGGGTAAAAGTTTTCAAGGCCCAGCGGGTCGATCAGAAGCTCTACAGCTAGGTCACTTGGGGTAAAATTTTTCTAAGGCCCTGTGGGTCGATCAGAAGCTCTACAGCTAGATCACCTGGGGCAAAAAGTTTCAAGGCCCCGCGGGTCGACCAGAAGCGCTACAGCTAGGTCACCTNCCCCACGGGTCGACTAGAAGCTCTAACGCTAGATCACCTGGGGCAAGAAGTTTTCAAGGCCTCGCGGGTCGATCAAAAGCTCTAAGGCTAGATCACTTGGGGAAAGAAGTTTCAAGGCCACGCAGGTCGATCAGAAGCTCTATAGCTAGGTCACCTGGGGTAAAAGTTTTCAAGGCCACGCAACTCAATCAAAAGCTCTAAGGCTAGATCACTTGGGGCAAGAAGTTTCAAGGCCACGCGGGTCGATCAGAAGCTCTAAGGCTAGATCACCTGGGGCAAGATGGTTCAAGGCCACGCAGGTGGATCAGAAGCTCTATACCTAGGTCACCTAGGGTAAAAGTTTTCAAGGTCACGCAAGTCAATCAGAAGCTCTATAGCTAGATCACCTAGGGTAAATGTTTTCAAGGCCCGAGGGTCGGCTAGAAGCTTTAGGGCTAAGTCACCAAGGGCATATCTCTCAAGGCCAAAGGGTCGACTAGAAGCCTTAGGGCAAAATTCAACTCGGGAAAATTTCACGTAAGTTTTTTAAGGCCACTTGGGTCGATCGGCCTATGCGGGTGCGCGATCGACTCACATTGTGCCCGATCGACCACGTGGGATCACGATTGACTCGGGGTCACGCAGAAAGTAAGGACTATGCACGGTGCGCGATTGACCTGGGGGAATGAAGGATTGATGCGATCGACCAGTGAGAACACGAGACCCGTATGGGGGTAAGTCGATGAACGCAGGTGTGCGATCGTCCTGTGGGCACGCAGGGTCGACACGGTTGACCCATGGACGCACGAAGGTCGTGCAGGGCTGACCAACAGGGTTAACCTATGAGAGCACGCGATCAATCTGCACGAGCGGGCGACTTACCCGAAGGCGCGACATGGTTGACCCACGCGACCCACACAAGGTGATCGACCCGCGCAAGGTGGTCGCCCCGCGCGATGTCATCGCCCTCCGCAGTATGGTCGACCCATGCAAGGTGGTCGCCCCCCGCGATGTCTTCGCCCCGCGATGTCATCGCCCCCCGCGATATGGTCGACCCATGCAAGGTGGTCGCCCCGCGCGATGTCTTCGCCCCCACGATACGGTTGACCCACACAACGTGGTCGCCCCGCACGGTGTCTTAGCCCCGTGATATGGTCGACCCATGCAAGGTGGTCGCCCCGCGCGATGTGTTCGCACCCGCGATACGGTCGACCTAGGCAACGTGGTCGCCCCGCGATGCCATCGCCCTCTGCGATATGGTCGACCCGCGCAAGGTGGTCGCCCCGCGCGATGTCTTTACCCTGCGATGGCATCGCCACCCGAGATATGGTCGACCCACTCAAGGTCGTCGCCCAGCGATGTCGTCGCCCCGCGCGATGTCATCGCCCCCCGCGGTATGGTCGACCCATGCAAGGTGGTCGCCCCCCGCGATGTCATCGCCCCCCGCGGTATGGTCGACCCATGCAAGGTGGTCGCCCCGCGCGGTGTCTTTGCCCCGCGATGACGTCGCCCCCCGCGCGATATTGTCGACCCACGTAAGGTGGTCGCCCCGCGCGATGTCTTTTCCCCGCGCAATGTCATAGCCCCGCACGATAGGGTCGACCCACACAAGGTGGTCTCCCACGTGATGTCATCGACATTCTCAAACACGGTTGACTTTATAGACATGGTCGACACTATGGTCGACAGATGACCCGCGTGTAAATGGTCGAAACGATCGGCCTATCTGGTAGACGCTCGACCCATAGAACCAACACCCAACACGGGCACATGATCGACCCATAAGGCTCACGCCCAACCAATGAGGTCGCACGGTCGACACCTTCGACGAGTGACCCAATCGACCACACATGGTCGACACCCTCGGCAACTAGCACATGAGCAAAAATCAAGAAACGATACGTTGATTAGAAGCTCCAAGGCTATATCGACTAGCGTGTTTATCTGAAGAGTCGCTACATCGATTAGAAGCTCCAAGGCTAGATCGAGTAAATTGTCTTTCTGAAGAGTTGCTACGTCGATCAGAAGCTCTAAGGCTAGATTGAGTAGCGTGTCCATCTGAAGAGTCTCTACCTCGATCGGAAGCTTCAAGTCTAGATCGAGTAACGTGTCCATCAGAAGAATCACTACCTCGATCAGTAGCATGTCTATGCATAGAACCAGTCCGGATGATCCTTTTGGGCATGTTGTATACATTTTTTATGAAGTACTTATTCAAGTGGATATCGTGTGCTCTTAGGCGTTTCGAAAGTGCTTGTTTTGACGATTATATGCGTTTGTCTTGGCGAGTTGCTTCGTGGATGATATGTGTGCTTTGACGATAACAGTCGTTTGTTTCGACGATTATATGCGTTTGTTTATTATTTACATTAAAAGCTCCAAATGTTGAGCTGAAACTTGACGATAGATCGATCTGAAGCTCGAGGTTAGGAGCCAGATAGTTCTAAGCTCGAAGCTAGATCAATCTGAAAGTTGAAGCTAGATCTATCATCAGCTAAATGCGAGATCGATCCGACGTAGGAAGAGTGATAGATCTAAGCTGTAGGCCAGGTCGACCCGAAGTTTGGGGCTGGATCTATCCTAAACTTGAAGATAGATCGATCCGTAGCTCAAGGCTAGATCGATTTCTTGGACGGGAGTAGATCGAATCGTAGCTAAAGGCTAGATCAATTTCATGGTCGGGAGAAGATCGATTCGTTTCTAAAAGCTAGATCGATTTCATATATCAAGGATAGATCCATACGAGGCTCATGGGTCGAAGCTCATGGATAGATCTAAGCTCGAGGATAGATCCTTACAAGACTCGATGACCGACTGAGCTTCCTCCAGTTGCCTTCTGAGAATCAACACCCCAAAGGTCGAAGCCTCAAGGGTCGACGACCTCAAGGGTGGACACCTCGACGGTCAACAACCGCACGCCTCAAGGGTCAAGGGTCGATAACCTCACAGATCGATAACCGCACGCCTCAAGGATCGACACCCCAAAGGCCAACGCCTCAAGGGTCGACACCTCAAGGGTCGACCATCTCAAGGGTAGATAACCTCAAGGGTCGACACCTTAAGGGTCAAGGGTCGACAACCTCAAGGGTAGATAATCTAAAGAGTAGATAACCTCAAGGGTCGACATCTCAAGGGTCGACGACCTCAAGGGTAGATAACCTCAAGGGTCGACACCTTAAAGGTCGACCATCTCAAGGGTTGATAACCTCAGGGGTCGACGCCTTAAGGGTCAAGGGTGTTAGTGTTATATACTGAAAGCTTGACTTTGCATGTTATTACACATTTACCCTTTATGAATGAGAATCATTTTAGATTAAACAAGTTCTACGTTCTGTTGTTCTGCACTTAGATAGGGTGAGTCGTCATCGGGTGAACCGAAGATCACTTTATCAATCACTTGTGAACCAAAATAGTTGTTCACAACCTAGATGGACATGAACACCCCATTCGAACGGTTGTAGTGTCAACTGTACAGTTTGTCTTGACTGATTAGTTGCACTAGTACATTTATGTATTGAATAGGATCCCAGAGACGAGAAGTTCATTTTATACTGATCGTCGTAAATGAACTAGGCCTCGGTTAATTACTGCGTTCTCTTAAACCGTAAGATATTAAACAGGCAGATATATATAATATATATTACTTTGATTCACATGGGTGAGGTTCAGTTCGCTGGATTAATATTCCTACTGTTTTGGGTAATAATATTATATATAGGATTTGCTGTTAGGATATTTATGGTCACCATGTGCGTTAGTTTGATGATGTCCCCGGAGTGAGTTCATGAAGGATTGTTATGCTAAACCCTGCAGGTGGATTAAGTTCCGACATAATAAGAATGTGATGAACGAGCGCTAGCTTCGATGAAATAATAATAAATTAATTAATTCTTGATTGTCAGTAATTGAATTAATTAATGGACATTATATCTTAAACGTGGGGAGGTAAATCGAGTAATTATTATTGGAGTCTCAAATGTAATTTGGGCTAGGAAAAGGGAGTGCAATAATATAATGTTGGTGGTGCTTTAATATTATTTAATTAATTAGAGAAGGGGGCTTGGCCCACAGTTAGTTTAATTAATTAAGGAGCCCTTTTCCTAATCTCCTAAGGGTCCCTATTGTAGCTCTATATATACATCATTAAGCTCATGAGAAGAGAATCCCAGTCTCATTCTAACGAGACACGCCCCACGCCTCTCTCTCTCTCTCTTTAGATCTCATTCGAGCTTTATCTTCTTCTTGTTGCTCCACTGGTACAAGTAGAAGAAGGGTGTATTGAGTAATACAGTAGAAGATCTGTAGGTAAACCGAGACGAATTATATTTTGACCTACTGAACTAACCGAAAGTCCGATTGAGACGTACAGCATACCCATACGACCGTATCGACAAGCGCTTTCCATCGCCGTCGAGATCACAGCCGTCCGATGCCTCACGCGCCCTCACGCGCCGCCGGAAGCTCCCAGGCTGCAAAGTTTCATTTTGATCTGTTTGCATCCGTTTGATCCGATTTTGATCTGATCTTGTTCGTGCAACCCAGGACGTGATTTACGGTCAATCAATTGCGGTCAATCGTTCGTGGTCAACCAGATCTACATAAATTTTAAGCCGTAAGTTCTCTACGTCAAACCGTTAGATCCGCTGCGCATAGGTTTACGTTTGCTATTGAATACGTGACTTGTACCTAACGAGATCCTCACAGATCCCAATAAATGGTTGATACTTCAAGGTTTGACACCTTGAGGGTCGGCGCCTCAAGGGGTATTTATGCTTACACGGGTGAAATATACCCGTATATTCATAAATCGGGGGGAGTAGTAGTTGATATGGGATAAAGCCTCATGAATCGAGCTAACTGAGGCATGACCTGAACCGGGTTCGAACTACACTAGGTAATTACATCGCACCTAGACACCGGGGATTGATCCTTACAACACCATTGAACCATGGATAGATCCTTACAAGACGAGGGTCGAAACCCGAAGTAAGAGACCCATCATGGGCAAGAAGGTAGATATCCCAATGGACCATGCGTCGAACACATAACATCAAGGACCACGCAGGTTTACACCATGCAGGTCGAACACCATGCAGGTTTACACCATGCATGTCGAACACCACGCAGGTCTACACCATGCAGGTCGAACACCACGCAGGTCTACACCATGCAGGTCGAACACCACGCAGGTCTACACCAAGCAAGTCGAACACCACGTAGTTGGACACCATGCGGGTCGAACACCATGCAGGTTGACACTACGAAGGCCGATAAGTCTCACGTTGACGCACCACGGCACGACGTATCGCCTTCAACCGTGATCCCTCAAGCGCGACACCTCAAGCACGAGGATCGTGCTCCGACACCTCATGCACGAGGATCGAGCTCAGACACCTTGAACGTGGGTCGAGCTCCGATTCCTCATGTGCGAATAATAGACTGACGTTGAATGTTCTACACGTTCATGCTTCAACGGTGATGCAGCACAGACCGACACCCCACAAGTCGACACTTCTTACGTCAGTACCTCGCAGGTCGTACGTCAACGTCTCGATGGTTGATGCAGCGCAGACCGATACGCCAGTTGATGCAGCGCAGATCGATACGCCGGTCGATGCATCGTTGACCATGCACCACAGATCTACGCCTCGCAGGTTCGGCGTGTTGCAGGTCGACATATCAAAGACCGAAGATCACGCGTCGAACACGTACACATGCGTTTACCACACAAAATGAGGAAGATTATAGATCGAGGGCCATACACGATTCCCAACTACGTGTGATCGAGCTCTTAGGCTCGATCCTTATCTCACCTGATCGAGCTCACATGGGCGCACGATCGACTCACGTGATATGGTCGACCGACACAACGAGCTCGACTCGCCTAGTGTGAGTGGCCTACGCAAGGTGGTCATCCCTGCGATGTAGCCACTTCGACAAAAAGTGGAAAGTGTTGGGTGGAGGCCGAACAAAGAAAAACCTCTTCCTCCTTCAAGGAATATTAGGGGGTAGCGATAACAAGGCGCTCGAGTATTATATTTACGATTAAACGAGCTTCGCTTCGTATACTCGTAAACAAGGGGAGTAGTTGATAGGGATTATAATACTGACTCGGTCTAACCGGACAAAGACCCGTGAGATTGAGGCCAAGAAAGCCTAATGGTCTACTGGTCCAATGGCCTATTGGTCCAATGGCCTACTGGTCCAACGGCCTACTGGTCCAATGGCCTACTGGTCTAATGGTCTAATGGCCTACTGGCCTAATGGCCTATTGGCCCAATGGCCTACTATCCAATGGTCAAATGGTCCAACGGCCTACTGGTCCAATAACCTACTGGTCTAATGGTTGAGCATAGACCGTGCATTGACCCGCTCAGGTGTCGACCGGACCTAAGGGTCGATCAGACCAAGGTGTCGACCTCGACCATAGCGTCGACCCGTCGATTGGCCCAAGGAGTCGACCCCCGACCACAGTGTCGACCGGCGAAGGGGCTTGGGATCGAGCCTCGGCCCTCGAAGTCATCATACGCCATGTGCTCGGTCAGTGAATGTCTAAGGATTTATGGTCCCGAGGACCGTACAGTCAGTCGCTATATAAGAGGTAAATTGACCAACGAAAGGTAACATAAACTCATTATTTCACTACAATAGTTATAACTGGAATTTTGTCATTGAAATTCATAAATAGTCACTTAAAGTTCGAATTTAAATGAAGAACTTATATTTTGACATGATTTAAATATTAACCCATATTAACAAATTACTTTATAACTTTTATAATCATATTTTCATGACTTGGAATATTTAAATTGTCACAAAAATAATTTAATATGACAAATTAAAATGTTGGTCACTTGGCCATGAACTCACGCACGTGTCCATTGGCTCTCACACAAGCCAGCTCAATACATACAGTACATATAGATACCACAATTTACACGGCAGCAGGCGCACACACACACACCTTGACACCACATACATTCATAGATAGATACACTACACTTTT